CAGAAGCCTCTCCCAGGCCTGGTGTCAGGGATGTGGGGGTCCAGGACAGGGTCAGGGATCCTGCCGCTGAGTCTTTAGGCCAAGCCTTTGCCCTGGTAAAAAAGCGTGTCCTTTTTCTGCTTCTGCCTTTCGAAGCCCAGCTCCTAGTGGAGACAGATACCTTCGGCAGTCAAGTCCGGATCAAGGGCAAGGAGACGGAGTTCTACCTGTGCATGAACCGGAAAGGCAAGCTGGTGGGGAAGGTGAGTGATGGCCGGGGATTCCGGGCATTGGGGCGGGTCCTCCCTGGCCGCTCTGGGCAGCTGGAACGGGGTGCCAAGGCCATGGTGCCCCAGATGGAGACAGGCCCCGGTGAGTGTGGGTGAAACTCCCCCTACCATCCGTCCTACCCCCCACCCCCGCCCCATTCCCTGCCCCACTCACGCAGTATCCGAGGCTGCGACTTTGGGGGGAACGCAGGGCCCCGATCTCTCCTGGGGGATGGGGAGCTCTGGCTGGAGAGGGGGTGAGTCCCCTCTGGAGGGGGCTCTGGGGCTCCCCGCCTGCAGGTACCTGCTGTCTGGGGACAGGGAAGCGGCGGCCGGCCCAAGGGCAGGGCTGCAGCGATGTTTTAACAATCGCCAGGCTCCGGAACCCAGCCGCCGCGTCAGCGTCAGCGCCGGGCCTCACGGTTCTAGCATTTCAGGGAGATTTTATTACTTTGGAACGGGCAAGAGAGCTGCATGTAACAAATTAGGGCAGGGGTGGGGGTGCGGCTGGGTGGACCCACGTGCCAGGCCTCTGAGCCGCCACCGATGCCGCTTCTCAGGGTCCCCCCTTTCTCTGGCTGAGCTGGTGTGTGACGCGCACACACGCGCGGCCTGTGGGTGTTCAGGGGAGGAGTGAGGGGCAGGACCTCTGTGTGGGATCCCGCCTGCAGGGACCCTCCCTCCCCCAGTGTCCAGCTTGGATAATGGGGGGTCTTCTGCTGCAGGTGGAGTGGGGGTGCGGTGGAGAGTGGACCCAGCTGCCAAGGAGGATGGCGTCCCCTGCTTGTGGGCGGGGCCCTGGCTGGTTATTTACATTTATTACACTTAGTTGGGGGTTACCCAAGTCTTGTATAAGCCATGCATTTATTTATTTACTTATTTATTTAAAAAACCTTTATTGTTGAAAGTATTCCATTGCCCCCCTTCCCTCCCCTCCCCCATTGACTCCTCCTAGCCCAGCCCAGCCCTAAGCCATGGTTTTTATTTCCTGAGTCTCCCCACTCATCCCTCTTGCTGTCCACCACACCCAAGTGGCCGGGGACAGGTCACAGGCCAGGGCCCGAGCCCAGGCATGGTGCTCGTTGTTAATAGTAGCGGTGCCAGCAGCGCCCTTCACTGAGCACCTGCTTTCTGCCAGGCACCGAGCAGGCGCAGGCGCGCTGCCCAACGATCCCTGCCATCCCCGCTTCGCAGATGCGACAGGGGCCCCAGGCCCGGCCCCAGGCCCCTCACTAGAGCTGGGCGGGATGCGGAGCCCAGTTTGGAGGCAGAGATTCCAGCCGCGCCGCCCACACCAACTACAGCTTCCCAAAGGGCAGACAGAGTAATAGTAATCGTGGCTCAGGGACGCCTAGTGGCTTCAATCAGTGATTCACTTTCCATGTCCGGAGGCCCGCGGCCCTGGGAGCGCAGGGGTCCGGGCAGGGGCGGCGGCCCACTGGGGCGCTTTGTTCTCCTGCCTGCCCGCCCGCCTCCCAGGCCCAACCTGCTCGCAGTCAGTGGGAGGCTCGGCCTTCTTTCTTTTCCTCTCGGAAGGAGGGGTGCGCGGCGGCCTGCCGTGCCCAGTGCCCGCTCGCCCCTCCCTCCGGTCTTCGCGGTTCCCGGCATCTTGACCCCAGGAGGGCCCTCATGGGGTCAAAAGAGCAGCCCCGTCCCCTCGGGCCGTCCGCCGCCCTCGCCCGCCCGCCGGCTGGCCGCTGAGTCACCGCTTCCACAGGAGCCGGCTCCGATTTCCTGCCCCCTCTCCCTCTCCCGTCATTAATATTGGGGACGGTTCAGCTGGAGGCGAGGGAGCTCGGCGAGGTCCAGGAGGACCGCCCCTCGCTGGGCTCCCCATCATCTCCCAGGCTCTGTCTTCTGGGCTGGCCTGGGGGGCTCCAAGGGCGCCCCCAAATCCACCTGTCCCGACTTTGCCAGGGGCAGGTCCCCCTGTTGGCCTCGGCCCAGCCCGGCGCCCCCTCACTCTCTCTGGCTCCCGCAGGGAAACCCTGGGCCCGGGGCTGCGGTTTGCTGTTCTGCCTTCAGACTCCCTGGCCAGCCAGGCCTCAGGCCCTGCACTCTCCTCCTTCCCTAGCCGGGCCTCCGGCCTGGCCTCAGACCTTACCCCAGCTCTCCCTGAGGTTCCAGCTCAGGCTCCAGCGCCAGGCCTGTCCCCACTGCCCACCCTCAGCTTTCTAAAGCACCAGGGGTCGGTCTCCCCTGCCCTCCAGCCCAGCCCAGTTCAGAACCTGTCCCTGTGTCCTCACCACCAACTGGAGAAAGGCCACACTCCCTGGGGCGGCTCCCAGACCTCAGACACATGCGACGGGCAGGGCTCTGCCAGCCTCCACCCCCTCAGGCTCTGTACACGCGGTGCCCTCTTCTGGGGCTGCCTTTCCCTCTGCCCTGCGTCCTGGCTCATCCCCGCAGCCTCTAGCTTCACTGACCCCTCAGTCACCCGCCCACCTGGGAGCCCACAGCCCCCCACACAGCCCTCTGTTGCTCATCTGCTCACCTGGGAGCGTCTTCAGACCTCCACTCCTCCCCTCTGGGTTCCATTTACCTGCCCCAAAGTCTGCACGGGCACCAGAGAAATGGAAGTATGGTTATTGCTTTCTGAGGATTGACTTACCCTGTAGCCAGAGTTACCCACATCTGGCCAGGGAGTCCACGTGCCCGGACCTTGCTGAGCCTCAGTGTCCTCACCTGTGAAATGGGAATGATGATGCTGGCACTTCGAGGCATTGACTTGTTAAATGTTAGTTCCCTTCCCCTCGGAAACTCGGAAACCAGATCACTCAGTCACTCCTTCGCCTGTGGGCGCCTGGGCCTCAGCTTGGGCTCCGGCTCCTTTGCAATGGCTCAATAGGACAGCTTTCTTGGGCCGTCCTGACCCTGGGTGCCAGCCTGGCCACAGCTGGGCACATCATTGGGCCCCTAACCCAGCCTTTCGGGTACTCCAGGCCCTTGGCTGTCGCTGCTCTCTCTGCTGCCTTGTACCAGCCATGTGCCCAAGCCCTGCCCGAGCCCCTGCCTGCTCAGGCAGCCCCTCCCCTCCTCCCCTCCTCTCCTCCCCTGGACCCCACATCCATCTGGCCCAGGAGGTCTGCTTCCTTTCATTCCATAAATAGTTGTTGAGTGTGGTGCATTATGTACTAGGCTTTTCCCCCCATCTCTGGAGACAGATGAGAAAAAAAAAAAGGTGTTTCTTTCCTCCTCTGTCCCCTCCTGTGTGATCCCTCTTTGGGGCAGCATAAGCCCCCAGACTGGGGGAGGCGGGGGCGGGAGGATGGTCCCTGCCCACCACCACATCTCTGTGAAGGCTGCTTTGGTTGTGACTGAAACCCAATTCAAACTGCCTTAAGCAACAAAAGGAAAATTCTGCCTGTGTAACTGAAAACATCCAGAGGCTTGTTCTAGTTTCAAATAAGACTGGATCTAGGGGCCAAATGACGTCATCAGGATTCACATCAAATGGAAGGAACAGGACTCCAGTTTGGGCAGAAGGAGGCTGGAGGTGGCAGTGGGGGAGACGATCAAATTCCAGATCCCCGAAATCCTGCTGATGTGCCTTGTCTGAGCCAATGGAGTCAGCATTGCTGGGGTGAGCCCAGCCACAGGGGTCTCTGAACCTCAGCAGGCAACAGCGGGGCCACAGGGGTCATCAGGGGCGGGGGCCAGGTCCAGCCCAGGTGCGGCTGCGTGGGTGTCTTATCATCTGTGTCTGAGTTCCTGGTGGGAGTATGTGACCACCACAGGCCCATGGCCACTCCCAGGGGCTCTCAAACTCTGGGGTGTTGAGAATTTCAGCCCAAGCCCAGCTCCCCAACCCTCTAAGCCAGCGGTTCTCAACCTGTGGGTCGCGACCCCTTTGACGGTCGAACGACCCTTTCACAGGGGTCGCCTAAGACCATCCTGCATTTCAGATATTTACATGACGATTCATAACAGTAGCAACATTACAGTTATGAAGTAGCAACAAAAATAATTTTATGGTTGGGTCACAACATGAGGAACTGTATTTAAAGGGCCAGAAGGTTGAGATCCACTGCTCTAAGCAAACCCAGGCGTGTGTGAGTACATGTGCCAGGCACTGTGCTGGGCCCTGCACATCCTAGAGCTTGCTTCGTGCTGATGTGGCTGTGTGGGCCTGGGGAGGGGAGGTGTTTTGATGGCAGTGCCCACGCTGCCATGCCTTCTCTCCTTGTGGGTGTGTCTGGAGCTGGACGGAGGAGAAGCGAGCTGCAGTGGCAAATGCAGGTTCAAATCCCAGCTCTGCTGTTTACAAGCCCCACGACCTTGGATAAGCCCTTTTGCCTCTTTGAACTCTGTTTCCTTCCACCAGACAGAGTCTAATTCGGTGGGTTAAGAGGATTAAATGAAGTGATGGATGTGGAACTGTCTGGCCTATGGTTGACAATTAATAAATGCTGAATGAATGCGTAGGGAGATGGAGTGGGCCAGGCACAGAGCTCTGTTCCTCTGCTGGCTCTGTCCCTGCATCCCCAGGAGGGGCCTCTCCTAGCTGATGACTATCTGGGGGACATTAGCAAGGGATCCAGGAGGCCAAGTCTATTTTCTTTCGGAGGGAAACCCTTTCCCTGTGTCGCTCCCACCATGTCTTCCCCAGCAGAACTCACATCCATTCAACCACGAGAGCTCTGGGCAGCCCTGTCTGGGGTTACGGCCTGTGCTGAGCCATGAGAATAGCCGAGAAGCAGTCCCGCCCTCCTGACGCTCTTGGGCTGATGGGCAGGCAGATATGGAATCGCTCTGTTGGGTGGGGGGTGGGAGGAGGAATGGGTGCCAAGGGCGGGGGGGGGGGTCTAGAAGATGGAGTATGTGAATCCAGTACAGCTTGATGCGTGAGTGGAATCTTGAAGGAAGAGGCAGAAATACCCAGGGAGGGAGGTGGCAGTCAGGGAAGGCTTCCCAGAGGAGGCAGCTACTGCACTGAGCCTTGAAGAATGAAAGCCGTGTTCCAGGCAGGCTTTCTAGGGTGGGGAGGCAGCATGGCGTGGCTTTTGTTCGTTTGCTCTGACTGTTCCATCGAGACCGGCCAAGGGACCTGGACGCAGGTTGGACAGGCAGCTTCCAGAATTATTCATGGGGGACTCAGAGCCCAGAGACCACTCCCATCTCCCCCCACCCCCTTGCACACATGCTCTGGCTTCCCTCACTGCTCAACCCGCCCTTCTGTCTCCTGGGTCCTGCGTGTGTCTCCCCGCCCCGCCCTGGCCTGCTCGGCAGCCTCCTCGAAAGATCGCGTCCTCCAGAGAATGTTTTCTTGCCCTGCCTGTCCCTTTCTGCAAAGTTCAGCACTTTGCAGAGCCCAAGCTTGCCCTCCGCTCAAAGGTGAACGTTCCTGGAAGCCCCAGCCTGTTTTCCACTTCAAACAAAAGGCTGGAGCTCGCACCTCCGTCTCCGCGCACAGCCAGCCGCGCGGCTTCCAACTTGGCCCGGCATCCGTCCGTAACGAGGAGTGGGCCCGGCCCGCATTTGGAGATGTTCGCTGGAAACTCCGGGCTGCTAATTCAGGCCTCCAGCTCTGTGTTTCCCACTCTCCCACTGCGAGCACCTCGGCTGCCTCGGGTGGAGACTCAGAGCCTGCCGCCCACCACCTTCTGTCCAGACCAGGCCCCGGGAGGGCAGCCAGACCAGCGAACCACCTGGTCTCCAGCCATAATGTAGTCCCTACTGTGCGCCACGCTCAGAAGAGCACCGTTCCTCACCTTTCTATGACACAGGGGTCCCCGTCCCTGTTTGGTGAGGCCAGGAATCCGAGGTTTGGAGCGGAATGAACGAACCTGAGGTCGCACAAGGAAGCCTTAGAGTTGACTCAGCTCCTGAGTCCGAATCTCGTGCTGCTCGCCCCGCACGGTCTCCCAGGGAGGCCACGCGTCTGCTCGGGAGCCGGAAGTCTCCGAAGCCAGGCTACAGGCTCTGGAGTCTGGCCACGCTAAAGCTCTAATTCTGGGAGGCTGTTTACACCAAACGTGGAAATGCAGCACACGCCACATTAAAATGTAACCGATCTTTCACGATAACAGTGGCGTCGAGCGGCAGTCGAGTAGCTGACTTCATGTCAGGTTTCGGGCACACCTGCCGGGACTCCCCCCTCTTGCAGGTGGTTCGGAGGACATGGGATAAACTGGCCCACGTCGCCGTGGTAACTGGAGCGTCAGGGGCAGCCTGGTGCAGAAGCTGAAGGGTGTGGCCAGGGCTTGGTTGCTCTCATTCTCTTCCTCTGGACTTGGCTTCCTCCATGCTGGCTTTGCTGTCCCATAGGCTTTCCCCTCGTGGTGACCAAATGGTTGCCTTCGCTTCAGCCTTACATGTTCCCCGAGTTTACGGCAGCCTATGTTTTTAGCCATGGCTCGTGCAGGGGTCTCGAGGAACACGGATTGGATGGCCCTGCCCCATGGCCGGCCCTGCACCAGTCCCAGGAAGTCATGTTTTGATTGGCTGCGTCTGGGTTTCTTGTTCTGATCGAGTGGAGGTGGGGGCTCCTGGCTGCAGGGTAGAGAGTGGGGGAGGGATGGGCTTCCGGATGATCACGGGAGCCTGTTACATAATTGTAACAGGGGCCAATACAACACGTTCGCTTCACACATCCAGGGCGTGACGTTGCTGAGGCCACAGCTTGGGGGAGGCCCTCTCTCCTGTGCTGCCCGGCACACCCGCCCTGCCGTTCTCACCTCCCCTCCTCCTCTCTCCCCCCCGCAGCCCGACGGCACCAGTAAGGAGTGCGTGTTCATCGAGAAGGTCCTGGAGAACAACTACACGGCCCTGATGTCGGCCAAGTACTCCGGCTGGTACGTGGGCTTCACCAAGAAGGGGCGGCCGCGGAAGGGCCCCAAGACCCGGGAGAACCAGCAGGACGTGCACTTCATGAAGCGCTACCCCAAGGGGCAGGCGGAGCTGCAGAAGCCCTTCAAGTACACCACGGTGACCAAGCGGTCCCGGCGCATCCGCCCCACGCACCCCGGCTAGAGGCACAGAGAACTGCACCAGAGGAATATTTTTACATGAAAAAGAAGGAAGAAGCTCTATTTTTGTACATTGTGTTTCAAAGAAGACAAAAACTGAACCAAAACTCTTGTGGGGGGGGGAGGGAGGGGGGACGATAAGGATTTCATTGTTGACTTGAACCCCCCCCGCCCCCCCGCCGATGACAAAGACTCACGTCACGCAAAGGGACTGTTGTCAGCGCACAGGTGCTTGTCTCTCTCAAAACAGACAACTCTAAACGCGTCCCCGGAGGAGGAGGACTTGAATGAGGAAAACGACACTCTGAGAAACCAAAGTCCTTTTTCCCAAAGGTTCTGAAAGCAAAAGAAAAAAAAAGCAAAAAAAAAAAAGTAGTAAACCACCCCCCGCCCCTACACAAAGAACTCCCCCTCTTTTCCAATCTCCTGTCCTTGCCCCAAACTCCAACAAAAATCGCTCTCTGGTTTGCAGTCATTTATTTATTGTCCGCTGCAAGCTGTCCCGAGACACCGCGCAGGGAAGGCGTGCCCCTCGGAATTCTCGGCGCCTCGACCTCCGACGACAGACGGCCTCGTCCAATCACGGTGACCCTGCCTTGCTCGCAGCCTGCAGGATGCTGCTATGGACCTTCCGTGACCCACGTGACCTAGCACACCAATGATAAGGGAATATTTTAAAACCAGCTATATTATATATATTATATATATATAAGCTATTTATTTCACCTCTCTGTATATTGCAGTTTCATGAACCAAGTATTACTGCCTCAACCATTAAAAACAATCGACAAATTATTTAAAAAAAAAACAAACCACGAGGCATTGAGTGGTGGCCGGGGGCAGGGCAGGGCAGCCCTCTTGTGTTTCGTTCTTCTTGGTCTGTGGTCTTTGCACGGAGAGCTGGGGCCTTGCTCATTCATTCATTCAGTTCATTCATTCATTCACTGATTTATTCAACACCTGCTATGCTCCTGGCACTGAGAATGCAGCCTTAAACATGGCAGATGGCAATCCTGGCCTTCAGAGAGATTACATTCTGATGAGCCATTGGTTCGATGATTGACTCAGTTGTGCGGTCGCATACATATACTCTCACACCATTTGCTCAGCATCTCTGATGTGCCAAGGCTGTATTTGAGGCCCTGGGGATGTATCAAAGAACACAAGAAAAAAATCCCAGCCCTCAGGGAACTTTTACTTATCATAATTCATTGTTTCATTCATTGATCTATGGATTCATTTATTCAATATGCTCGTATAGCTCCTAAGTCCTCACTAAGTGCCAGGCACTCTTTTAGGTCCTGGGAATTCATCAAAGACCCAAACAGACAAACAATAAAAATCATGCCTCATGGAGCTTGCAGGGCAGGGATTCCTCAGCGAGTCATTTGTGGAGTGTCCACTCCGGCTGAACAAGGCAGGGCGGCCCCGCTCTCCTCTGCCTGGTGGTGGAGGAGTCAGAGGGCAGGTCAGTGGGGGCCTGGTGTTTCCCTCCTCGGACCCTCACGGGCTGGAGCACAAGGAGTCTGTCTGGCCTCCTCGACTCCCAGGGCCTGTTCTAGGTCTTCCCAGGCTCTCCAGGAGCTCGGAGAGGCCGGTGAGCAGACTGGGCAGGAGATTGGCCGAGGTGGGTCCTGCTGGGGTCACCTGCCTCCCCGCCAGGAGAGGTCTCCCATGAAGCCCTGTGCAGAGAGGAGGGGGCAGGACAGGGGGGACGAGTACCTTCTCTGCAGGGGGTTCCTGGCTGTGGGGGGCTTGCCTGCCTCTGAGCTGTGTTCCCTCTGCAGCCCACGCCCACTTCTCAGCACAGGCGGAGCCCACCCGCTGGCTCTGTCCTGACTCTGCACCGAGTGTCTCTCTTCGTCCCGGGGCCCCGTCCCACGTGCCGTGGCTCACGCTTCTGCCTGTCCCGGCCCATCTCCTTCGGGCTTCAGGTGCACAATCTCCTCGTGACCTCAGGGCAGCCTGTGAGGAAGGTTCTGTCATTATCCCGGTTTCATAGACGGGACTGAGCTCAGAAACGTTACGTCGCCTTCCCAAGATGACAGAATGAGGACGTGATGGGGCCGGTATCCAAATCCTAGACTCTCAGGACTCTAGTAGGTACCACTTGGTCAGTGCCTACTGGGTGTCAGCCCCCTGCTGGGTGCCTCACGTGCAAGCCTGGACGCCCATTGGACATCCCTGTGTGGGACGCAGGGACTCCTGGCCTCCACGCCTGGCCGATGAACACAGGGGCACAGAGAGGTCATTGCGGCGCCATGGCCTCCGTGAGCAGGGGACTGAGCCTGGGACCCTTGGTGATGATAACAGTGATGGTGGTGGTTGTTTACTGAGCACCTAGTATGTGTTAGTTCCATTCACATTCTACTAATTCCATTTAAACAGTAACCCTCTGAGATGGGTGTGTGCTCTGTTCGGAAGTTTTGGTGGAGTGAAATGACCTGCCCAAGATAATTCAAGTTGGAAAACCGCGGATCCAGAATTCCATCCATCGTCCATTCATTCGCCCAATAAATGTGTTGAGTTTACTCTGTGCCACATGCTATTCCAGGGGTTGAAGGTACAGCAGGGACCTGAGCAGAGCCCCTGCCCTTGTGGTCAATACATTTTCTTGGGAAAGAGCAATAATACACCAAATAGTTATAAAATATAATGTCAAATAGCAGCCAATCGTAAGGAAAATAAAATAGGATGAGGGGATAGAGGATAATGGGGCTCCCATTTTAGATAGGGTGGTCGGGCAAGGCCTCTGGAGGGGGGGACCCATGCAAACACTGAGGGGAAAAGCATTCCAGGCAGAGGGAACAGAGAGTGCTAAGGCCTGGTGGTCTGTCATGGAATAAGGAGGGGCCAGTGGGGCTACTGCAGAGTGAACAGGGGCGGGGGCAGAGCTTTCGAGGGTCTCGGGGCATGCCCGGAGCTCTTCATCGGAGTGAGATCAGATGCTCCATGTGGTACCCCTTAAAGGGACTGCTCTGGCTACGGTGTGGAGAAGGGCGGGCAGCGTCCAGCCTGGGGCCACCTGGTGTGAGGTCAGACCTGGGCTCTCACCAGGGCCCACCGCCCGCCTGCCCCCTTCCCCTTGCATCCTCGGGCCTCCTCCGGCCTCCATTCTCTGCCCACAGGCTGCCGGCACCTCCCATACCCAACACCTTGCCCTTGCTCCACCAGGGGCCAGGGGCCAGGGGCCCGTCGTAGTTCCCTTTCCTGCCCCTCTGGACACTCCCTGGCTTTGGAAGACGTGGGACCAGCTTCTGTTCACTTTAGACCGAGCTTTCTGGCCATTGCCCGAGCTATGAGCAGCTTGTGAACGGTACGCACAGCGGGCTGGCGGGATTCCCCAGCCGCGGATGATGTCTTCTTAGGGCACTTGCTTGAGGGAGGAGCCAGTGAGCGTTTCCACGGTCCAGCTGAGGAGGGAACCCCAGTCATCGCCCACCACTTTGGGAGCTTGTGCCAAGCACAATCTTATCGAATCCTCCCAACCAGCCGTTGGGGCGGGCATTTTGGGCCCCACTTTCTAAGGCAGCTCAGAGCAGGGGAGCCACTTGCCTGAGGCCACGCAGCTAGGAACAGAGGAGCTGGGTGTGGACCTGTCTGCCTGTCCCTAGAGCTGTGGATCCCCCTCAGCTGGGATGCTTGGAGCTCTCAGCCTCTTTCCCCTCAGTCCCCTGGGCCTGCCTTGGTGGTCATCATCTCCCAAGCCACCAGAGGGAGGAGGCAGGGAGTCCCCGTTCCCAGGGGCCTAATGACAGCCCGTTCCCCCTCGGGGTCCTCCCCAGGATGTCCGTGTCGCAAGGGCGTGGGGATCTGGGACTAAGGCCCCTGAATTTGTTTTCGGCTTGGCCACTTCGCCAGCTGTGTGACCTCGGACGCGTCCTATCTTTCCTGTGCGGCTTGGATTTCTCATCAATCCAACTGTCTGCCTTAGGGGCCGTTGCTGCTCAAGAGAGACAGCAGAGCAAATAACTGGGGATTATTCCTGCCCAGCAGAGCTGGAAGGGACGCAGGCGGTGTTTTGCCCACTCAGTCTTCTCCCTCCTTCTCCCCTCACCCTCGTCCCTCAAGGGAGGCAGCACCAAGACACAGAGGAGAGAAGTGACCTGCCCCGGGCACCCTGTGAGTTCATGCCAGAGCCCGTTAGATGACCGATGACTAGAGATGACAGCAATATGACCAGGAGGGGATGGGATGTGGAAAAGGAGGCGCGTCGGGGCTCCTCCAGGGAGCTCGGGGCCAGGGAGCCACTTCAGTGACCAGCCAGGTCCCTCTCAGCATCCTTCCCAAATCTGCGTCTCCGACCCAAAGAGGCGGAGGGCAGGGAGGAGAGGGCTGAGGTCCCTGTGTCCAGACCCGCATCCTCTGCCCCCCACCCCACAGCGATGCCATGGGAACGAGTGCCAGAAATGAGGAAAGACGGGCTGTTGCCCTAGCGTTTCAAGGGGTCCCGCAGGCAAGAATGGGGAGACCGGCCCCTGCATCAGGGAGAGATTTGGGTTTGGGTGGGAGGGGAGGACATGACAACGAGGAGAGGCGGTGTCTGGGGTACTCCTGCCAAGCAGGTGAGCTGTGGGGACGGCACGGAAAGCCAGGCTTTGTGCAGGAAGCGAGGGAGGTGCCCTCGGGCTGCGTGCCCAGCTGGAGCCTAACAAGCCTGGCCTGGGATGCCCGGGGCTTGAAAGCCCCATAAACGGGCAGAACCCTCCCTCCGCAGCCAGCCAGCCAGCCGCAGGACTGGGCTTCCAGAGAAACAATAGTGAATTAGGTGTGAAAGATGTGAAGGCTGCTCCCCAACCATGCAATTAGGTAGCAGGTCTGTTACAAACATTAGGCGGGGAGTTGGGGACCAGATGGCGGCCGGCTCACCCTGGCAGTCCTGTCCCGGGACCGCCTGGCTTCCTGGCTGAGGCTCCCCGCTCTGGCGAGGAGGGCAGGCGGCAGGTAGGCCGGTGTGTGGCCCCCTGCAGAGCAGGCCGGTAATTAACCAGGCATTCCTCCCCTCCCTCGGGTGGCTCCTGACCTAATTAGCACTTGCTAGAGTTTCTGCCCGGCCCCTCTGCTGGTGGAGGGAGCCGCTCCTGCAATGTAGCAGCCTCCCGGGCTGACCACTCTGCAGCTGCAGGCCTGTGTCACCCTCCGGGGCTGGTCCGAGGTGCCGGCTGATTTTAAGTGTCATAGACTGAAGTCTCACTTGCCCGGCCCACGGGGCTCCTTGTCCTCTGCTGAGCACCGGCTTTGTGTGGGCATGTTATCCAATTCTCTCATAGAGTTCTCACCGTCCTCCTCTGAGATAGCTATGTGTATCTGTCCGACCAAGGAGGAAACGGAGGCTCAGAGAAGGGAAGTCACTGGCTCAAGTTCATCTGTCTGGCTCCCCAGATCCTGCACGTGACTCTTACACCTCAAAGCAGCCCCGCGCCTCCCAGGGAGCTGGGGGTCACCCGTTGTCCACAAGGACAGAGGACCAGAGAGGCAAGGTGACAGGCTCCCAGTCACACAGGTACTGACCAGTGAAGCCAGGACTTGAAACGAGGTCTGTTGGGTTCTAGACTCTTCCCTCGCCACGCCTCCCGACCCTCCACTTCGGTTCATGTGTTATTCCGGCTTCTTTGGACTACAAGGGACAGATACACATGAAAACTGACGTAAGCCAATGAGGAAATTTATTCGAATGACCATATTCAAGATTTGGGAAAGGCATGCTGGGAGGTGCCCACCTGGGCGAGGGCGCTCTGCTCGCGGCCACCATTCGTGGTGACGAGAACGAGTCGGGTGCGTCTCTCCATCCTTTCTTGGTCCCT